ATTTATATATATATATATACATATGCGCACGCTCTCGGACGCCGTTCACGCAGAACATTTCAGCTCCACGAAACACACGCGCAGAGCTTACACTGGCACTTATGCCGGGAACTCTTAGAAGAGGCTTCAGACACGCGGGCTCCTTGCTGACCTTCCAGTGGTGCCAGATGGTCAGCTAACTTTCCGTCGAGACTCGAATCGCGTCCTCCAGTCTGTCCAGGTCAGTGCTCCACATTTGCTGGACCGAGGTTTTCTTCGTCTGTACCTCACGAGACCGTGATGCAGAGACCACTAGGGTCCAAGCTTTTCGGAGCTAGTGGTGGTCTCGCCAGTTCGTCGTTCTTGGCTTTGTAGAGCTTCCTGGGCCGTGTCTGTCTCTCCTTAAGCCCTAAACCAGGCAGCAGCTTTGTAAGCCAAGTCTCTCAAGTTCCAGCTTTCTTTCCAGCGTCAGAGTCAGGATCTGCATGCCAAGCAGGTACCTAGCGATGGAAACCCCTTCAAGCCTTCTCCTCCCAAACACAGGAAAAGTGCAGGCTGGTTGCTCGAAGCCAGTCCTGCACAGAGGGGAGGGAATGATTCCTATACCAGTGACTCTCTCGCTTTCAACCGTCCATATCTGTCCTGGTCCCTGTAGTGTCGCCGAAACGTCGAAACTTGAACTTCACAAGATCTTTCACAACGTCTGCCTTGCCAATGTCAGTGATGCTGTCGCTCCCCGCAGCCCATCGCAAGCTGAGGCCTTCTTGCGATTGTTCACATGGAGCTTCTTGGCAATGATCATGGCAATGAACCGAGCACGATTTCCGAGAAGCTCCTGCAAAAGAATCTAACAGATCGGGATGCCATCGTAGCCCCAGGACCGACGGAGACATATGACTGCAAAGTCATCTGGTGCAGTGTGGATGGGCATCCTTCTCAAGCGTGAGCTTCTGGATCAAATACTTCTTGCGCATGTCATACCTGGGAACCCGAGCCCCTTGCCAAGGTAATCCACGTCGTGACCACTGTCACTAACTAGCTCACCCAACCAGCACAACGACCGCGACCCAGTGCACCTCCCCTGCTGGTGCCTGCCCGGCTGGGGCCAACTGTATCAGTTCTACCCTTTCTTTGCTGCAGTCGTGGAGCATCTTCAATCGAACTTTCGCAAACTCGTCCATGATGGCCTTTGCGCTCTTGTATTTTGTGATGCGACCCTCGTGGTCGAACAATACCATGTTGGTCTCGTTGATGGTGCTCTTCAGGCGCATCACGGCGTCAATGCCCTCTTTCTCCTCTGCATTCTTGAGCTTGCTGCCATCCATGCGGACAACAAAGTGAACACTGCGCTCTGTATGGTATTCTCTGACCTTGCAGCCAAATCATGGCTATGCGGAACAACGGAAGCGTCATGCTGGGTCCACGGATACCTGAGCCTGCCACATCATAGATGTTCAGCTTGGCCTTCTGATCTCCGCCCGGCATGTTGCTTTGCAGAAACCTTGGCGGCGCAAACCTTCGGAAAATAAAGGGAGGGAAGGTAACTGCGCCAGACCGGCAAGCCGAGATGCTCCTTGTAGTCCTGTGTCCACTTTCGCAACGGCAGCTCTGTTATCTGCAGGATGGTGCTGCTCGACTTCGTGTATGCGCCGCGGCAGTCGTATTTGCCTCCCACAAGAGACCACAGCTTTGGGCTTTTCGCGAAAGTATGCCGACATACTGCGTTCGAGCAGCCCTTTTCTCCGGCTGGTCTGATTGTGCCGGTAAACCCTCGGTACCATGGCGGCATGCTTCGCATTGGCTTCTTCTTGATGAATTGCCGCATGTTTGCCTGGGGCCACGCGTTGAACGATGCTTTGCAAGATGTCGCCGCCCAGCAGCCCACTGCCAACTTATGATTAAATCCCAGCCGCAATGATGTCGAAGGGGTTGTAGTTTGGTACTGAGGTACTCCATCCAGTTCCTATGTTCGGAAGCCGCTTCGGAGGAAACACTCTCTGCTCAAGCCGAGAAGCCGATGCCCTCCGTGCCGTTCACAAGAATCAGAGGGATAATCGGGGCATACCTGGGTCGTTCAGGAAGGGGCGACGAAGCAAAGCTGGCAGGCCTGAGCTCCAAGCCAGAGTGGCTCGATCTTCTGCCCTTCCTCCACCTACAGAGACGTGTTGCTGCCTCTCGAAAGATTCACAAATCTGCGCTGCTGGCTCCCAATGCCTGGTAGTCCAATACAGGATCATCGAGAGGATTGAACAGCAAGCGGGTAATGGTTGCCAGCCTACCCAGCGGAAATGCTTTGTGGAATTTGATGTTGGAAAGAGCTGGTAGCCTGGTGTAGATGTAACGAGCACTCGCTGCGTCCTGGACACATGGAGGTCGTGCCGGAAAACTGGACTGCCGATGAGCAGTCGATGCGCCTTTCCACCCTGTGCTCGTGTCCCGAACTGTCCGGAAGGAACCAGCAGATTCAAGTTGTTGGATCCAACGAAGTCCTTCGAATACTCAAGTTCAAGACTCATGCCGACCGGCAGGTCAAAATCCTGCGCCATGGATACGATTGTCGCGGCAAGAGAGGATTCTCCGTGATGATAGGCGCTATGCTCACCTGCCCGAAAGGCAAGAAGAGCTGCTCGCGATTCTTGCGCGTGCAAGGCTTGAGCTCCAGGCCAACGTAGCCCACCAACTGGGCGACCTTCACATCTGACCGAAGATTGCGCTTGAAGCAGCAATACAGGACCTGTCATCATCACATCGATTCCAGGAATCGGACTTCTTTCCGGTCTGCATAAGGCCTTGCGCTGCGTGGGCTTCAGACCATCCATGACAGAAGGAACGCTTCTCATCAAGTCCTCAGATGCAGCTATCCGCAGCGATCTTCAAATTCCGCCGAAGTCAGAACTGGCACTCCATACCTCCACTCACGAACCGCTCTCGTGCCACGAAGACTCGTACCGTGAGAATTGCACGAGCTCCTTGTTGACCTCAGTACTTGACACCATCAGAACTTGTGAGAACAGGCAGGCACACATAACATCAAGTGCGAAGCAAAATCTTCGTAGGATACAGCTGTCTTCGAATGATCCAGAAATGTTCCCTCCTGCAACAAAGCAGCAGTATGCAGCCCTATACAAATGATGCCAGTTTCGGGCAATTGCAACGCTGGCAGCTCGGGCAACCCTGCCTGGTACTTGTTCATCCAGGACTTCCGATCGTCTGAGCGTCCTTTGTTGAACGCCATGTCGATCAATTTGTTCTCGCTTGGTCCCTTCCACCTTTGGAAACTTGCGGTTCAGCGCGTGCTACTAGCACGCGCACACACAGAGACAAACGAACACCCACGAAACTGGGGAAATGGCTTGAAGTCCATGCGATGGTCGTGAATGTTTCCGAAATATTCTTTGGCTTCAGCAGCTGTGCTGGTTCCCAAGCCTTTGTAGTATTTGATCTTCCAGCCGGCACCATCTTTTGTCTTCGCTTTCCACTTCTCGTATTCCACCATGGTAAAGAATTGCTCCACCTTCCCATCCTTGGTTGCCTTGACGATTGGAGTGACGAACTGCTGCAGGAAGCCCTTGTTGCTTCTGAGCCTCGGCTACCACGAGATGCGCCCGCTACGCTCAAGGCCAAAAAGGTCGAGAGACAGGTCCGGCCAGAAGTAGTGAAAGAAGTTGATCAGAAGGCCCTTGATGTGAGAACCGTCGTAGTCCTGGTCTGCCATGATCATCACCTGCAAGAACAGCAGCTCTTCATTTCACCCCATACAACGTTCATGCCCGCAGTGCCTTCCCGTAGCGCAGATCAGTGACCTTCTTCTTGTCGAAAGAAAGCCCAAGGATTTTGACAATGTTCATTGCCTGTCACTTGTGGCGGTGACAGGCTACAGTAGGCGACATGTCGAAGGCGCTGTGCATGCGTGCCTCCTTGTTGTCAGCCAGCGCTTTTTGGTTTATCTCGCGCACGTTCAACAGCTTGCCACGCAACGGGAAAACCTTGGTATTAAGGAAGCAACAAAACTGGCAGCAAGCAGCTGAACTGAGCCGGCGACGCCATACTTGTCGCGACCAAGGACGGATAAACCCGCCACTGCAAGAGCTTTGGCACTATCCCCTTCTGTCAAGATCAGCGTACACTCCTGCGCAAAGCCCATTGAGTGTTGAATGCAGAATCGTAAACAGCTTGAGAAATACTCACCTTGGAGAGCTTGCCACCTTGGGCACAGGCTCGAATTCAGCAGGCTCACAGCTCGAATAAAAAATCAGGGCCTGCTTCATTTGCATCTTCCAGCTTCGGTACCCCCAACCTTCATGACAGCTCGAAAAATCTTCGGCCCATTTCGTGCTAAAATTGCCTAAGTCTCCGGCACGCGTTTTCCGTGGCTCGCTTTGGAGTTACTCTTGTCCATTTGGAGTGTCATCTTGGATTGTGCCTGGTTTGTTGAGCAGCTACATGTGCTGCTTGGACAGCTACTGTCCGACAAGCCTCCGAGATGACGGCATCGACGATGCCGGTGTTTGTCAGCACCTCAATGCCAGCTTCAAGGTATTTGCGAAGCCATGAAAGGGCTTTAGGGCGGCTGCCTCCTCGATGAACGCACGGGGCAAGCTGCAGTGACTTCCAAACTGGGAGGCCTGACTTCAATGATGAAGTTGCACTGGCTGGAACGACAAAGAAAAACATCCGTCCGCAGGCTCGTGGCCTTGAGCGTCATCTGCTCCTTGGTTTGTGAACTGAAGGCAGGGTTCTCGATCAAGCCTCAGCAATTGAAGCGTACGTTCCCAGCAGAATCCCGGCAAGTCACCGGCTGCCAAGATCCTAGCAGTTGATGAACAGCCAAAGGTGGCTCTTCACATGCCTCGTTGCAAGCAGCTCGTGTCACGGCGAACAGGTGATTAGCACGCTTCTGGCCAAGATACACTCGCTTGATCTCGACCCCTTTGCCGGCCTGTTTGGAGGCCTGACTAGACTTTACTTTCGGAGCAGAGCCCGGAAAAAATGGCCGAGCCTTGCTCGAAATTGCGTCAACCAGCTGGTCAAGGATGTAGTTCACATGCCTTCGGCATATGAAGCTGCTTCGCAGCAGATGTCTGGCACTTCGTTGCAAACTTCCATCTTCCGTGGGCACATCTGCGAAGAAGCTTCAGCACTTGTGAGGGACAGGCGTTCCCCCTTTCGGAGTGCTGATGGCATTGACAAACGAGTTCTGCTGAAAACCGTCGCCATCAGAGCGAGCAACCAGCACCTCAACCCAAAGACCAGGTGGTGTGCATCTACTCATGCGTCGAGGCGTTGAACGACGCTCAGTGAGTCCGACCTGCCATCGCTTGTTGAGCTGAGCATAGGCATAACCCTCATCGCCATGGAACTGCTGGCAGTAATCCACAAAGTTCTTGACTTCCAGCTTCCCTTGTCTGAAGTCGCCGGCACAGTTCAACCGCAAAACTCACTCCGAGCGATTTGCAAGTTGCAGCGAGAAAACGTCGTTTTCAGCAGTGTCGTGCAACCGATGGGATCTCAACACATTACGCAAGCAGGCCAAATCGGTTGAGCTTGAGATATTGCAAGCAAGGTGCGTCCATTCAAATAAACAGAACATCGATCTCCGCTGGTACCTCGCGGGATATATATATATATATATGTATAACAGGTATATATTTATATTTATATTAATATA